GGAATGCAGATTGGTGCAGCCATTAAGGAAAACAGTATGGAGGTTCCTCAAAAATTTAAAAATGGTACTACCTTATGATCCAATGATTCCATTTCTGGGTATGTATTAGAAGAAACCCAAAACACTAATTCAAAAGAATATATGCACCTCTGTGTTTATTGTAGAGTTATTTACAATAGCCAAGATATGAAAGCAACCCACATGCCCATTAGTAAACCAGTAGATAAAGTGGTGATATATATATGGAATATTACTTGCGCATAAGAAGAATGAAATCTTTCCATCTGCAACAACATGGATGGACCTAGAGGGTATTATGCTAAGTGAAATAAGTCAGAGAAAGACAAATACCATATGATTTCACTTATATGTGAAATCTAAAGAACAAAACAATTGAACAAACAAAACAGAAACGGACTCATAGATACAGAGAGCAGACATATGGTTGCCCAGAGGGGAGAGGTGTTGGAGGGCTGGGTGAAAAAGGTGAAGAGATGAAGAAGTATAAATTGGTAGTTACAAAATATTCATGGTGCCCTGGGTGGTTTGTTTCAGTGGTTAGAGCGTTGGCCCGTGGACCAGAGAGTCCTGTCTTTGGTTCCTGCTAAGGGCACGTACCTCGGTTGCAGTTTGTCCCTTGCCCTGGTTGGGGTCGTGTGGGTGGCATCCAGTCGATGTGTCTCTCTCAGATTGATGTCTCTCTCTCTCTCTTTCTCCCTCTCTCCCTCCTGCTCTATCTGAAGATAAATGCAAAAATGTTCTCCGGTGAGGATAAAACAAAAACAAAAACAAAATAATCATGGGCATGTAAAGTTACAGCATAGGGAATATAGTCAATAATATTGTAATAACTACGTATGGTTCCAGGTGGGTACTTAAAATACTGAGGGGATCACTTGTAAAGTATATGATTGTCTAAACGCTATGCTGTTCACCTGAAACTAATACAAAATAATATTGACTGTAAAACAAATCAAACACATATAGACTATCATATCAGTTTGAATGTAGAAGCAGTTATAAGGATCCAACTGTGTTCTATTAAGCTAAGACAGTAAAGAAATCTGTTAAGTAAAAAACAAAGCCACTCTTCTGAATAATTTTTTTGTTTTGGAAAATTTAATATAAAGACTATCTTTTTCCTACTGAATTGTGGTATCACCTTTGTCATAAATCAGGTAACCATGTATGTGTGGGTCTGTTTCATTGCGGCCCCCCCCCAACTCTTATAATTATACTACACTGGCTTAATTACTATGGTTTTTTGTAAGCTTTATAATAAGCTTTGCTATTTAGAAGTCTAAGTCCTCCAGCTCTAGTGTTCTTAAAGATTGCTTTGTCTATTCTAGATCCTTTGTATATATTTCTTGATTCCTTTTAACCTTTTAAAAATTAGTCTTAGTCTGGCCAGAGTAGCTCAGTTGGTTGAGCATTGTCTTGTGCATGGAAAGGTTGCTGGATTGATTCCCAGTCAGGGTACATACCTGTGTTGTGGGTTCTATTCCTTGTTGGGGCACATGCAGAAGGCAACTGACTGATGTTTCTGTCTCATATCTCTCTCCCTCCATCTGTTACTCTCTCTCCCCCTCTCTTCCTCCCTTTCTCTAAGCATGCCCTCAGGTGAGGAGTAAAAAACAAACTAAAAATAAAATAAAATTAGTCTTAATTTTAAGTAGAACATTATTTTGAATATTTGTAAAAATTTTACCCCTTCAATTCTCTGTAACTTGATGTAGCCTAGTTCTGTTTATGATAACTTTCTTTTCTAATTTACTAGATAAACAATGGATAAATATAAAAGAAAAGTCCTGTGCATTTATATTTACTGTGCTTCATTTTGCTTAAAAAATATATATAACAAGATACAAGTAAACAAATTCAGGCAAAAAGAAAATAAGGGTTAAGAGTATAATATAGAACAATAGATAAGATTAATTCAGGCCTGCTTTTTTTTTTTTGGACAGAGCTAGGACTGGAACTTTGACTCTCATTTTATTAGAATCAAAGCAAATAGAATCAGTTATGAGATTCATGGAATCCATAATGTGAAAGTAAAGTAGTTACTCTAAAGGATAGTTTTTCCTGGTACTGAAAATTGAAGATGTGAATTTTTTCCTCTGTTGGATTTAAAAGGGGATAACATGGTCTAGCAGCATTTTCAGTAACATTTTGGACTTAATTCCAAAGTGCAGTGCAGTTTATCTGAATGTACAGTTCTATGAAATCAATACTATGGTGGAAATATGTGGTTTTCTGATTGTCTGATTTGATCCAAAGATAAAATTTAGAATAAAAAAATAAATGGGCTACTGTTTTTTCTAAAAGATAAAATGTGTATCTCTCAAGTAATTCTTTTTTTCTTTTTTTTTAATCCTCACCCGAGGATATTTTCCCTTTTTTTTTTTTTTTTTTTTATCCTCACCCAAGGATATTTTTCCATTTTTTGTACAGATAGAGTGGGAGGGAGAGAGAGGAAGGGAGAGAGAGAGAGAGAAACATCGACATGAAGGGACACATCGAGTGGCTGCCACCTGCACGACCAACCAGGGCCGGGGACAAACTGCAACCGAAGTACGTGCCCTTAGCGGGAACCGAACCCGGGTCTCTCTGGACCGCAGGCCGACGCTCTAACCGCTGAGCCAAACTGGCCAGGGCTATTTTCCCATTTTTTGTACAGCTAGAGTGGGAGGGAGAGAGAGGAAGGGAGAGAGAGAGAGAAACATCGACGTGAAGGGACACATCGAGTGGCTGCCACCCGCACGACCAACCAGGGCTGGGGACAAACTGCAACCGAAGTACGTGCCCTTAGCGGGAACCGAACCCGGGTCTCTCCGGACCGCAGGCCGACGCTTTAACCGCTGAGCCAAACTGGCCAGGGCTCAAGTAATTCTCCATGAATAAATAACTATACATATATACACACACAATGTTTTTAAACAACAGAAACTTTAGAATTTATTCTTTTGCAAGAACTTTGTGTTGTTCACTAAGGCATATTCTGTATACTTTGATAGCTGAGTGGAGACTACGAATTTATATTCTTCAATAATAATATTGCATAACAATAATACTTTATTGCCAGGTACTGTAATAAATTTTTTGTTGAATTCTCACAACAGCTCCTTGAAAGTAGGTACTCTGATTATGCCCATTTCACAAAAAGGCAAATAACTTGCTCAAGGTTATACTCCAAGGAAGTAATAGAATCAGGATTCAGTTTCTGGCAGTTCTGCCTCAGTTTCTACTATTTGATAATGCTGATGAAAATTAAGAAGCCTAATACAGGATTTGTACCTGAATTAGGAGGTTAGGAAATTTAGAGCTAAGATTTTTTTCTCAAGAAACAGTTTCATATATATGGATAAGTGAAGAAAACTACATTGTACTTTGACAAGTTTTGCTTGAGGTAAATTTGTTTTGCATTTCCTTAGCTTCCTTTTTTTCTCATGTATACATAATTCCATTCTTCTGAATAACTATTTTTGAATATAGTCATTATCTTGGATATTATCATTTTTGTTTTATGAATATTAAGCTTTCAGGGAACCAAGTGGCTTGCCTGGATAGATTATTCTTCATTTTTTTTTAATCCTTACCTGAGGATATTTTTCCATCTATTTTCAGACACAGTGGGAGGGAGGGAGGGGAAGGGAGAGAGAGTGAGAGAAACATCGATGTGAGAGAGACACATTGATTGGTTGCCTCCCAGACGACCCTGACCAAGGCTGGGACTGAACCACAACTGAGGTACATACCCTTGACTGATATCAAACCTGAGACTCTTTGGTCCAAGGGCCGACTCTAATCCCTGAGCCAAACTGGCCAGGGCTAGATTGTTATTCTTGTAAATAACTGAAATACAGTAAAATCCTGATATAATGGACTAATTTGGGCAAGGGGTGTCCATTAAAGCAGAAAGTCCATTATATTATAAAGTAGGTTTTCCAAATATGTATGTTAAAAAATTGACAAATTAGTTTACCTGTTTTTACTTATGTAGACACATTTGTGTAATTAAAATTAAGTATGTATGGAAAGTTTTCTATATGTATTACTGTAATTTAAAATTTGTACTGAATAGGTCTAGTAAATGTGTGCATTCACCAGTCACTACCAGTAATCAAATGCACATGGCTGGGACATGGCTAAGCACACATCGAACATCAGCCAGCTCGCGTTAAAACTCCTGCAGAAAGTCACGCCACTTGACAACAGAAGCAATTACCATATGCGATGTGTGGTGTGATCATGTACTAATCATTCTCCAAAATTGTTTACGAGTGGTGACTCTTGAATTTCAATATGTAGGTTGTAGTTGTAGATATGTAATGTTTATTTATGTTGGCAAAATTACTATAGTGTTTTCTCAAATTATATGGCCTATTTTTGTTAAAAATAACAGTGAATTAATAATAAAAAATAACTTGTTAATTTAATTATAAGCAAATCTTGGTTGAAAGCTTTTTAAAAATGGGTGTTAATTTTCACATATGACATACGGACCAGAAATTTTGTCTGTTAAATCCGAAGCCTGTTAAATCTGAGGTTCATTAAACCGAGGTCTACAAAATCAAGGGTTCACCGTATAAGCACATTAAATTGCTTTAATTTCTTCTGTAAAGTAAATTTTGGATGCATGTGTTTTTGAAAATACACAGTTTTAAAGTATTTTCTGCAGTTTTCTTAAGATGCATGGTCTGTTTGAAATTATTTAATTGAAACTAGGAAGAAATGTCCGGTATATTTTGCAGCTGGCAGTCCTGAAAGCTGAATAAAAATTGCAGAGCCAATTTCATCATATCGTGATACTTTTGTCAAAATTCTTTCATTTCAACACTTGTTTGTTCACATTGCTTTTTGAATCCAGTAATTTATGTTTGAAATTGCTTTAATTTTACAAATAGGAAGTAACTAAATTTTATAGGTTTACTTCTATCTATAGCAATCTGACTGTAAAGAAAATGTACTTAAAATTTAAAATTTTCTATGTTAATTTTCAGGTTGAAGGTTTAGAACAGATGTGGAAAGATGTTCACTTCAGAGAAAGGGCTTGTGGAGGAATGGTTGTCAGAGTTTAAGGTAATGTTTGTTTTAATATAATAATTATATTCCAAAGAAGTTTTGTCTGGGGTTTAAATTCTAGTGGCTTTAAAAAAAATATTTGACTGAAAAGCTAAATATTTGTTGAAGCAGAAGTATCTTCCAACAAATCTTAATAGGGAATTATTTACACATGCTAATCTCTTCTTGGAGATCAATTACTTTTTTTCTCCCAAGTGGTCCAAACAGTTTGTTTGTTTTCTCCTTTTCATGGCAACACTACAAAGAATGGTTAAAGTGTCTAAATGTTGATGTCACTCTCTTCAACCACCGTTGAAATCCCAACTTGTGTAATGGAAGTGGGCATGATTAACAATGAGGAAAAAATGGGAAGATATTTACCCAACTTTCTACCAGTGGATCTTTCTCTAATTGGCTAACCCAGTGACTATATAAGGGGTGTATAACTTTTGGTTAGTTGATGAAAATATAAAATCTGTTTTCTTGTTTCATGAACTTGTCTATGATAGCTAAAATTGTATTGTGTTAACCAGTCCATTACTTTCTCTTTGTCTTCTGGGTTTCATTGTTACACATAATTATGTGAATGAACTTCATGTTCATGAACCATAGGAATGAAGGGTTTGGGTGGCAACCATCACTTTTTCCCCCCAGCCCAATCAGCCCAAGATCTTCAGGGATAAACATAGTCTTTCAAAGTCAAACTTTTTGGCTTGTTTTAGTGAGGGAGACTACATAACTGGTACCATACAGGCATCTCACCAAACAAAGGAAAAGATACAATTGTTACAGGAGTTAGAGGAAGGGTGGAGTTCAGATGAAATTTAATTGAAGCCGGATTTTGATGGACTTAAAACAAAGCATTTCTATGTATAAATGAGGTTAATATCTGGTCTCAACTTTGAAGTAGACCCAGGATCCTGTTGTCTTGGAAACTACAAAGTTAACATTTATGTGGAATGTTGTGTTCAGAAACCCCTCCTCTGAACCTCTGTACCTAGGTTGGAAATTGAGCCTGCTTCTCTGTGTTAAGGTGACTTAGATCCTCCAGACAAGAGTGGGATGTTTCATTCTTACTGATATATGTTTAAACAGCAAAGTTTTTGATATCTTGATTTTAGATAATAAGGCTTCTCAGTGAGTAACAACATAGTAGTCACTCAAAAAGGGAGGTTGTTATGATACTTTTTGGCTACAGTGTGTCCTTGAGACAAACAATGTTTCCTATTAAATTTGCAGCTGGCCTTATCAGTGGTTGTTACCTCATCCTAATGAATGAATGGCTGGGCAGATTTTTACTTTTCAGCTTTTATAGTCATGAATTGAGTGTCCTTCTGTGGAATCCCTAAGTAATTATAAAGTGATGCAGAATATTGTAAAAGTACAATGTATAAAGTACCTTCTACATATTTTAGTAGTTTGATTAAATCTTGCATGTGCTTTTTTTGATGCATGTTATCTTTGTTTTTTTGAATAAGTGTTCAAGGTGTTTTTAAGCTTTTTTTTTTCTTTTCCTGCTTCAAGAGTGTTTAATGTGGTTGATTATATCTTTTTTTTTTGTTTTTTTGGCAGTTTGATGGAAATTTTCAAGTTTAACAATTGAGTACCGCTTCTAGGACATACTTATGTTTAATGGTGAAGTTAAATTTGCAAAAGCAAATATAACCAGTTAGCCATTATTTAATGGGGAGTCATGGAAAGATGGCATGTTAAAAAATGAGGTAAAGGGGAGGGGTCAACTATTAAGGCAAATAATTGAAAATCTTGAATGATTCCCTTCCCTTTCTGTTTGTTTGTTTATTGCCTTGCCCTTCTGGCTTGACTATATAGATACCCTAGTAAGTGTAGCAGTGAGGGATAAGGGACCAATGTAGCAGTAAGGGCAGTAATGTGCCCTAGTGTTTGAGAAAATTTTTTTTTTTGGTGGAAGATTACAGAGATGGCATGTAGAAGAGGCAGCTAGAGTGGTTACATTGGTAGGTTGGTTACTTTGAGCAAATAAGGAATGGTAGTTAGATTTCTCTGTATCTGAGAAAGGAATTAATAACATGAAATGGAGAAAGGCAAGAAGTAACCTTAAGGTATTGTATTGAAATTAGGAGAATCAGTATGAACTCATGGATCTATATATGTATATATTTACATATGTATATCCATGTACACGTGCACATGTATATCCAGGTACACGTGCACATGTATATCCATACACGTGTGCACATGCATATCCACACATATGTGCACATGCATATTGATACATATGCGCCTATGTATACCCATACACACACAACACACACATGTCCATACACAGGCACACATGCATATCCATACACAGTGCACATGCATGTCCACACATATGTGCATGTGTATGTCCATACATGTGTGCATACATATATTTCCTAGCTTCTTTTACTAAAGGGCCAGTAGCAATGAGTATCCCAAACACACCGATATTGTTTTCTAGAAAACAAATTTCTTTTCTTTATTAATTTTAGAGAGAGAGAGAGAGAGAGAAACGTCGGTGTGAGAAAGAAACATCAATGAGAGTGAACATTAATTGGCCGCCTCCTGCATGCCAGCCACTAGGGATTGGGCTCACAACCCAGGCATGTGCCCTGACCAGGAATCAAACCAGTGACCTCTTGGTGCATAGGTTGATGCTCCAGCACTGAGCCACACTGGCCAGGCCAGATCTTGTTTTCTAAATACGATTTTCCATGTAAAGAAACTAGGATATGAATAAACAAAGTATTATCAAAGGAATATTTTCTCAATTTAACATATACAGGGTGGGGCAAAGTAATTTTTACAATTGTTTGTAGGGAAAATAATATAATATTTAATAAATAATAATATAAGAATAAACTCTGTTTCATATACTCACAATTGTATACCTACTTTTGACCCACTTGTATTATGTGAGTAGTGATGTTTTATCAAAAATTTTACAAATTTAGCCCTGGCCGGTTTGGCTCAGCGGTTGGAGTGTCGGCCTGTGGTCCAAAGAGACCTGGGTTCAGTTCCCGCTAAGGGCGCGTACCTCGGTTACAGTTTGTCCCTGGCCCTGGCTGATTGCGCGGGTGGCAGCTACTCGATGTGTCCCTTTCATGTCAATGTTTCTCTCTCTCTCTCTCTCTCTCTCTCTCTCTCTCTCTCTCTCTCTCTCTCTCTCTCTTCCTCTCTCTCCCTCCCACTCTATCTGAACAAAAAATGGAAAAATGCCCTTGGGTGAGGATTAAAAAAAAAAAGAAATTTAATTCAAGGGTAAGGAAACTTTTTCATTGGGAGGAGAGGAATGAAATCCTGGGCCTCACGAAATAAAAAGTAATATAATTTAATTTTTCCCTAATCCTTCAAGATTAAAATTACTCAATTTTCAGCCAGTTTGGTATAACAAATGTTTTAAATTATTGTCTATGTGTAGTCAGTTATAGAGATGTTTCCTGTTTCTTGGTTAATTTGGCAGGCACTCCTGAAAATGATTTTGAGTATCATTTTGAATTGTGTTAATGTGTGTTGAATTCAGCTCTTTTCATGTTGGATAAAGAGATTAAGGTTATCAGACAAAATCAGCAGCATACTAGAGGTAGTAGAATACTAAAATGTGCTTTAGCACAAACTTCTTAAGTACTTTTAAAATAAGAATATCTTGTCTTTTGAAATGATTTGTGATGTTAATTACAATTTTGGTTAAAATTTCATGAAGACAGATGCTGTTTGCCAAAGTATCATTTGGCAGACAGTTTTTTTTAAATGTAAGGATGTGATATGGGTTGAGTGGAAGAGAATTAATGAAGATGGACAGATGGGTGGAGAAACAGTAAACAAAACAACTCTGTTAAAAAATCTTACACATAAGACTGGATTTTGACTCATATATATTTATATAAATGTAAATATATTTAGAAAAAGCCTCTGCTTGGTTGTTTAATAACCATGTGCTTATATGGCCAAGATCATCATGATTGGTAAAGTGGTACAAAGTATATTGGTCTGAGAAGTCAGAAACCCTTTGATCTAATTATAATTCTTCTGCTGGATGGTTTTATGATATTGGATAAATCACATAACTTCTTGGGTTTTCAGTATTCTCATAAGAAAAAATTAATTGTAGATGGTCTGTGAAGATGATTTTAGCTCTTTCTCCACTGTTCCATGGTCACAGTCTTAACTCCCAACTTCATAACCTCACTCAACATTCTCTCAAATGTACAAGGACAAAACATAATAATAATAAATAATAAAACAGAATAATATACACATTCAATGTATATTCTGGCTTTGGGCTCTTGTTTTTATTACTCTTTGTATACCAAAAAAATAATTAAACTGAGATTTCATTATTTTAAGATTTCATGAATAGTTCAAATTCTAGCTTTTCAAAGATTTATTTGTAAAATATTATCTTTCAGATTGTATTGTTTTCCTTAATGCTATGTGTAGATTTATCTAGCAGATTTTCAGACTCCTAATTTTTTCAGTTTTGTGGTGGTCATTGAATCTCAGTATGTGACTCAAAATTCAGTCTTAATGAGTGATGTTTTTGAACAGAGTTGTTTTATTTATTGGTTCTCTACCCATCTGTCCATCTTCATTAATTCTCTCCTACCCAACCCATATCACATCCTTACATTTAAAAAAAAAACCCATCTGCTAAATGATACTTGAGTATGAAGCATCTGTCTTCAAATTTTGCCAAGACTAAAAGACTAATTTTCCAATATAATTTCCCATTATTACTTTTTTGTCTCCAGTTATGCCTTCTGAAAAGTGCAAAAGCTTAGCTGGTATTTGCAAAGGCTAGTACCTTTCAACTGATACTGTGTGGAAAAATTTAAAGTTTTGCTCTAATACTATTTAATTCATTAGGTTCTTTTATATCTTAAATTTTTCAAAGCACTATTCATAAGCACAGCAATTATATTTTCTCCTCTTCTATAAACAAAATTAACTTCTCCTACATTCACAAAATGAAATAATAACAGAATTGTGATAAAATATAATAGTCCATAGCACTAATTCATAGGAGACCTCTCCTGTCATTTAGCTGTAGTAGCCTAGGTCCAGGGTATTTTCTAGAGCTTGTCTTTTCTGAAAAGAGTTGTTTTTGTTTTTCTTTGGCTGTTTCACAGAAAATATTTACCTCATGAGGGTTAATTGGTACCTAAACTAAAAACTGTTGTTCACATTTTTAATGAATGTTTCATTTTTAGCCTAAATAGTATATATAGTATTATAATAATCTTTATTTTCACTATTTTTTAAAGATTTATATTTCAATTCACTCAGTTTTAAATTTTATAGTCAGACACATATATGAATACATACATAATAATGTATTTTACATGTATAATTCAGGCTCATTTCCATCCAGGGGATTAGAAATCTTCTGTTTATTTGACTAGTATTCCCTTTTATATAAATTCCCCCAGTATTAGGTTACTCTTGACCAAATAATGGAAATGAAATGTTGCCTGGAGATCTTTTGTTACATGCTTTTGAAATATTGAAGAATGCCCCAATCTCCTTTTTATGTAAGTAGTTGCGGTAAAATGCCCCAGAATGATGAAATGTTCCCAGATAGTTCACATTTACTTATGACTCTAAAAGAATCTATTCACTTATATATCCTAAGGTGAGATGTGACCTGTTTTTAAAGAATCTACTGAAGTGTAAACCGTGACAGTATTCATCTTATTCTGTTAATTTATAATAAATTCCTTTAGCTAAAGTTTGAGTGTGAGGCTTTGTGCTGAGTGCTATTGATGGAGAGATATTAAGATAGCTCTTGTTCTCAAGGAGCTCACAGTAAAGTAAAAATGAATCAGATATCCTTACTAAAATTTTTATGCTGTTTAATTTTCTATGTATTTTTATGCACACATACACCTGTGTACACTAACCATAATCCATTTTAAATCATGAAATGCTAGGATAGGGGACATGTAAAAAATAGTATATCTTGGAATGACTGTTAGCAATATCTTGAGACATATCTACTGCTGGATTAACATTTGTTGATTGATTGATTGAAGGAAATAATGTGCATGAGAAAGAATAATTTAAAGGAAGGGACATATTCTAGGAGGATAGTTGTTGTTGTTGTTTTTTTTAATCATTTGTTATGAAGTGTTTTGTTTTTGTTTTTCAGATTTTCCTACTACTTTTACCCCAAAGCATCTGACTTACTCCTGGAGTTTTATTTCTTCTCATTACTCTGTGGTCATTGTGTCTTTTCTAAATGGGTGATGCTGGCAAGCAGTGATTAGTTGTCTATATTTTAAATGACATTAGGAAAACTACTTTGTTGGCCGTGTGGCTACCTTGTTCTGCAGTTCTGAGAAGTCTAAAATTTCCTCGTAATTCTATAAAGGAGGGAACAGCCTTACCTAACTTAACAGTCACAATAGATAACTCAGGAGAGTTCCTTTGATAATGATCTGTAGCTTTCAGGTTTGCAACATTATTCGATCCTTATACAACAGTGGTCATTAATATAATGTTTATTTAAAAGCAGGATTTTTTTTTTTTTAATCCTCACCCAACACTATTTTTCCATTTATCTTCAGATAGAGTGGGAGGAAGGAGGAGAGAGAGTGGGAGGTAGAGAGGGAGAGAAAGTGAGAAAGAAACATTGATATGAGAGAGACACATCGATTGGTTGCCTCCTGCACGACCCCAACCAGGCCCGGGGACTGAACTTCAATTGAGGTATGTGCCCTTGACTGGAATCAAAGCCCAGACTCTGTGGTCTGCTGGCCGACACTCTAACTGCTGAGCCAAACTGGCCAGGGCAAAAAAGCAGGATTTTAATTTTATTTTATTTTATTTATTTTTTCAAAAAAAATTTTTATTGATTTTTCAGAGAGAGGAAGGGAGAGAGAGATAGAAACATCGATGTGAGAGAGAAACATGGATTGGCTGCCTCTTGCACAGCCCCCAATGGGGATCAAGCCCGCAACCCTGGCATATGCCTTGACCAGGAATCGAACTGGGACCTCTCAGTCCATGGGAGGATGCTCAATCCACTGAGCCACACCGGTCGGGCTAAAAAAGCAGGATCAATATGGCTAATGAGATTTGTAACATAATGCTACAGAAAATATATCTCTGGCTTTATACAAGTTTTGTATTCTCATTTCTAACCCTACACTGTGATCACAGATGAAGTGTTGCCCTGGCCACACTTTGGCTCAGCAGTTAGAGCGTCGGCCTGCGGTCCAGAGAGACCCGGGTTTGGATCCTGCTAAGGGCGCGTTCCTCGGTTGCAGTTTGTCCCTGGCCCTGGTTGGGCCGTGTGGGTGGCAGCCACTTGATGTGTACCGTTCACGTCGATGTTTCTCTCTCTCTCTCCCTCCCTCCCCTCCTCCCACTCTATCAGAACAAAAAATGGAAAAATGTCCTTGGGTGAGGATTAAAAAAAAAAAAAAGATGAAGTGTTGATGTTAATTTATGTCTCTGTTGATGATAAGAGGATTAAATATAATTTTTATTTTACTTTTGCAATTATTTTGTTGAGATATAATTAACAGAATATGAAATTTACTGTCTTAACCTGAAAATACAATGGTTTTTAGTATATTCATAATGTTGTGCAACCAATACCAGCATCTAATTCTAGGATATATCAATCAATCTTAAAAGAAACTTTATGCCTGTTACATACTTCCAACTCTCCCATCCCCAAATTACTTGCAATAGCTAGTCTACTTTTCTGTTTATAGATTTGTCTATTCTGGACACTTCATAAAAATAAAATGTATTTTCTTTTAATTTGTTTAGACACTACCAGAAACATCTTTACCAAATTATGCCACAAATTTGAAAGATAAGAGTTCTTTAGTTTCATCTCTTTATAAAGTTATCCAGGAGCCACAAAGTGAGGTAAGTACTCTTATAGTTTATTGTATTAATACTATTGATTATACTAGTACAGTTGATTGATGTAAAAAAATTTTTTAGTCCTGGCCAGTTTGGCTCAGCGGTTGGAGCATCGGCCTGCGGACCAGAGAGGTCCCGGGTTCAGTTTCCGCTAGGGGCATGTACCAAAAAATAAAATAAAGTTAACAATATTTAAAAATAAATAAATAAATAAATAAATTTTTTATTATGAAATATAACATGTATAAAAGAGTAAGAAAAAGTGTGTGTTTAAACAACTATAGTATATATTATGGAGTGTTTTAGCTGATTACCTTTGAAAAATGGGGTGCAGGGGATAAAAGAAGAATACTTTATGTTGACAAATGGTGGAGTAAAAAGAAAACCAAAAAACTAATAAAATGAACTTCGGTGTACCCTCCCCCAGGCCAAGAAATAGATCTGTTGCCATATTCGAAAAGCCATCTCTGAACTGTTCCTCCTTCTCTCTCTCTCTCTCTCTCTCTCTCTCTCTCTCTCTCTCTCTCTCTCTGTCTCGTTGGAAGTAGCCTAGAAAAGTCTGGGTCACTACATTCATTTACTCCTTCAGCAAATATTTGTGTGTCTACTATGAGCCAGCTGCAATGCTAGGCAATAGAAAATCAAAGATGGTCTTTATCTCAAAAGAGGAAAGGAGTATAAAATACGTAAACACACTTTCAAGCCAATTCTTAACTGAATCTAGATAGATATGCTTGAATTTACCAGGTGTGCAAGATAAAGGAACATTCCAAGCCGTAGGGGTAGTATACGAAGGTCTGAAAAAATGTAAGGCATTTAAGGAAAGGCAGGCACTGGCTGATGCTTTGCCCAGTCCTTCCTTCTTTTCTCTTGCCTCATCTCCTTTTCTTTTTTTAAATAGCAAATTTAGATTGAAGGTGATAAAATCAATACTCTGGATTCTGGTGCCTATAAATCCCACCATTCATAGTAGAAATAGAAAAGGGTGACTTCTGGTCAAGACGGTGGTGCAGGTAAACGCGGTATTGCATCCTCTCACAACCACATCAGAATTACAACTGAACTATAGAACATCTATCATTCAAAACCACCTAAAATCAAGCTGAATGGAAGTCCTACAACGACAAAATTAAAGAAGCCATATCAAGACTGGTAGGAGAGGCGGAGGCACGGATGGGCTGGTCCCATACCCACGTGTGGCGGATAAAAATCAGCAGATACCTCAGCTGGGAAGGTCCCCCTGAGGAGTGAGGGGTCCCATCCCACACCAGGCACTCAGCTCAGGGTTCCAGTGCCAGGAAGGGAAGTTCCCATGACTTCTGGCTGTAAAAAACAGCAGGAACTGAGGCTGAGGGAGGCTGAGGCTGCTGGAGCCCCAGGCAGTTCCTTTTAAAGGACCTGCTCACAAACTTACTCAGACTTGCTCCCTCGAAGTTCCAGCGTGAGGGAAGCAGCTCGAAAAGCACCAGAGACATAAGGGGAAGAACTGAGCTGTTTGGCATTGGGTCAAGGGCTGGAGAGGCGGCTTTCTCCTGGACAGACGTGCTGTCAGAGGCCTTTGTTCCTTTGGTGAGCCCTTCCCCCACAGGACAGGCAGATGGCCACCATATCTGAGACCCCAGCAACCTGGCTCACACTATTTGTCCCACCCTAGTGATTCCCTGAGGCCCTGCCCCACCCAGCTTTCAGGCCCACCCAAGCTGTTGCCAGTTGCTTTACCATAGGATTGGTCTGTCTTGGCTCCTGCTTCCGATTTTCCTAAATGCTCTCAAACAAGCAGCATCTGGTCTCAGCGAGCCTCGTACATCGTGTTAAGTGGCCCCAGGCCTGGCAGTAGAAGCAGCCAGCCTTGGTTCACAACTTGGCTTTGCCTGGGCACCTCCAAGCCCAGCACAAGAAGCAGCCATCTGCAGACTGCTTTGTAGCTTATGCCTGGTGGCCCCAGGTAGAACACAGGCAGTGGCTGACCAGGCCCCAGAGCCAGCACCCCCAGTGGACAGCTTCAGAACACTGCAAAGCACCACCACCCATCCACCTCCACAAGTGACACACTCAAGGAATGGATTCAGTGGGTACCAGAGCCCTGCTGAAATAAGTCTTGCTCTGTGTAGTGGGCCCTTGCACAGCAGATCATCCAAGATAATCAGAGGTCAGTGGATAGTGGGCACAGCCAGTCCTTGCAGCTGATCAGCCTGAGTAAAGCCCTCTCATTGATGTGCCAACATCAATCAAGACTCAGTTACAACAGAAGGTTGTAAAGTCCACATGAGGGGTACACCTCGAGGGCCCAGCTGGGAGACCAGGGAGGCTGTGTCACTGGACCTGACAGGACACCTACTACAATAGGCCACCCTAGGAAGTCCAGTAGACATAGCAACCCTACCTAATGCATAGAAACAAACACAGGGAGGCAGCCAAAATGAGGAGACAAAGAAACATGTTCCAAATGAAAGAACAGAACAAAAATCCAGGAAAAGAACTAAACAAAATGAAGATAAGCAATCTTACAGATGCAGAGCTCAAAACACTGCTCATAAGGATGCTCAATGAACTTGGTGAGAACTTAAAGGATCTTAGTGAGAGCCTCAAGAGTGTAAAAAAGGACCAGTCAGAAATGAAGGAGGCATTAACTGAAATAAAGAATAATTTACACAGATTCAATAGTAGAGTAGGTACACCAAGAAGCAAACCATCGATTTGGAATAGAAGGAAGCAAAAAACACCCAACTGAAACAACAAAAAAAAAGAATCCAAAAAAATGATAATGTAAGGAGCCTCTGGGACAACTTCAAGCATACCAACATTCGTATCATGGGGGTGCCAGAAGGAGAAGAGAGAGAACAAGAAATTGAACACCTATTTGAAACAATAATGACAGAAAACTTCCCTAATTTGGTGAAGAAAACAGAAATACGTGTCCAGGAAGCACAGAGAGTCCCAAACAAGATGACCCCAAGAGGCTCACACCAAGACACATTATCATCAAAATGCAAAAGGTTCAAGACAAAGAGAGAATCTTAAAAGTAGCAAGAGAAGAGAAAAGCAATTAGTTACCTACAAGAGAACTCCCATAAGGCTGTCAGCTGATTTCTCAGAAGAAACTTTACAGGCCAGGAGGGAGTGGCAAGAAATATTCAGCATGATGAAAAGCAAGAACCCACAACCAAGATTGCTCTGTGCTGCAAAGTTCATTTAGAATTGATGGACATATAAAAAGTTTCCCAGACAAGAAAAAGCTAAAAGATTTCATCACCACCAAACCATTATTATATAAAATGTTGAAGGGTCTTCTTGAAGAAAAAGAAGATCAAAAATATGAACAAACAAAATGGCAATAAATACATATCTATTGACAATTGAATCTACAAACAAAATGAACAAAGAGAACTCAGATATAGAGAACATTTTGTTGGTTGCCAAATGGGATGGGAGTTGGGGGAATGGGTGAAAAGGTGGAGGGATTAAGAAGTACAAATTGCTTGTTAGACTAACAAACCTCAAAAGGAAGGGGGGTGGGAAGAAATGAACCAAAGAACTTATATGCATATATGCACAACCAATGGACACAGACAACAGTATGGGGAAAGGCAAGAGGGGGGTGGGAGTGGGAAGTAGGGGATTAATAGGGGGAAAAGGAGGAATACCTGTAATATATTCAACAATAAAGATACTTTTTTAATTTAAGAAAAGAGAAAAGGATTAGAAATAGGATAGAAAATAAAAAGGTAAAGCCTGGCCGGTATGGCTCAATGGCTTGAGTGTCATCCCATGGACTGAGAGGTCCTGGTTCAATTCCTGATCAGGGCACATGCCCAGGTTAGGGTTCTATCCCTAGTAGGGGGTGTGCAGGAGGCAGCCAATTGGTGTTTCTCTCTCATATCAATGTTTCTATCTCTCTCTTACTTTCTCTTTCTCTAAAAAAATCAATAAAATCGCTCTGGCTGATTTGGCTCAGCGGTTAGAGCGTTGGCCTGTGGTCCAGAGAGACCCGGGTTCGGTTCCCGCTAAGGGCGCGTACCTCGGTTGCGGTTAGTCCCCGGCCCTGGTTGGTTGTGCAGGTCGCAGCTACTCAATGTGTCCCTTTCACATCGATGTTTCTCTATCTTCCTCTCTCTCCCTCCCACTCTATCTGAACAAAAAATGGAAAAATGTCCTTGGGTGAGGATAAAAAAAAAAAAAAAAAATCAATAAAATCAAATTTTTTAGAAGAAGAAAGAAAATAATAAAAATGGCATTTGTGTGGGGGGGTGGAATGCAGATAGGCTAATGCAATAGTTAACAAGAGAGGATAAGACAGGTAGGAACTGAAGCTGGAAAGATAGATTTAGGTTGTAACCATGGTGGATCTTAAAATCTGTCATAAGCAGTTTAACCTTTTTTTGCACTGAAGCGATGGCTTGATTAGATTATTCTTTTAGTAAGGTGGCTATATAGAGGATAGATTTGGAGAATGGAAAATTAAAAACAAGAGACTAGGAAGCTATGAAAATAGTTTAGGAGGAAGGTGTTGAGAACCTGAACTGGGGCAGTGTCAGTTGGTATGGAAATAGGTGGAGTAGGGGGAAGGAATATGAGGAATATGATTATTTTGTACTTGATTTTGGCTGTAACACCACTAATTGTATTATTCAGGTAAAGTAACTTATACTCTGGAGTCCAGTCCTATATGGATCTATATGGTTTTGGGATGAAACTGTCAAAATTAGAGTATTTGGTCATTTGAATAGCTCACCTTTTTTGGAGAGGGGTTTGGAATAACCCAGCTTCTGCTGAGTATTCTATAAAGTGCATCATGAATTTTAGGTGCTGAAGTAAAGAGTAGGGAGTATAGTGACAAGCCAAAAACATTAAGTGGAATAACTGAATACAATCATCATATTTTGCTTGTTCCTCTCTCCTCCCCAAAGCTTCTTAATTTGTATAGTATGTGTGAGTTGTTTCCTTGAAGGGTTTTAGTAGAAGCTGTTTTATTTTTTAAAAGATTAAAAATTTTTTTTTCTTTTTATTGATTTCAGAGAGGAAGGGAGAAGGGAGAGAGATAGAAACATCAATGAGAGAGAACATTGATTGGCTGCCTCCTGCATGCTCCCCACTGGGTATTGGGCCCCCAACCTGGGCATGTGCCCTGACCTGGAATGGAACCGGCAACCTCCAGGTGCATGGGTCGATGCTCAACCACTAAGCCACACTGACAGGGCTAGAAGCTGTTTTAAAGTTTTCCATATTTAGTTGAGAATTATTTCACTGAATAGAGTAAGTATAGCTATGTGCTTTATTATTATTTTAAACATGCTTGGCCAGTGTGGCTCAGTGGATTGAGTGTCGTCTCAAGGACTGAGACATCCTGGTTCAATTTCCAGTGGGGGCACCTGCCTAGGTAGCAGGCTTGATCCCCAGTGTGGGGCATGTAGGAGGCAGCTGATCAATGTTTCTCTGTCATTGATGTTTCTCTCTCTCTCCCCTTCTCCCTTCCTCTCTATCTAAAAAATCAATTAAAAAATATTATTATTTTAAACGTTAAATCTTGTTTATCATTTCTTGCTTAATATTTTTAAGAGACTTAAAAATTATTCCTCTGGTTAAGTGTGTTTTAACCAGGCTATTTAGATAGAGTTTGTATGGTAAATTTCTGATAGGCTCGTTTAGTTCATAGCATTTCTTTTATTCAAATTAACAGTGAATACAGCTCTAATGGTTTATAGCACTATTTCTCAAACTGTGGTGAAAGACTGGTTTAAAAAACGTTTCAATCTGTTACAGAATATGTGTACCTAATGTTTCTGATGAATCATGCAACTCACATCACATGCGAGGTACCACACAAATTTGATAACCCCTAACTGATCTATACTCTGTTGAATAAGTCTGCTGATCACCCACTAGTATGTTGTAGCAATATCAAGTTGCTATAAAAATTTCTAAATTTTTCCTCTCAATTTCTGTATTTATATTATTGGGGACTGGTAACAGTTTGTTGATGGTCTTCAGTCCGTGGTCCACACATTCAGAAGCAATGATTTAGGAGATTTTGCATGTAAGTTTGTTTTTATGTTTTATGCCTGATTAATGTGGTGAAGACAGTGTGTATTCTGTATTCTTAAAAGACAACTCAGTCTTAAAAAATACACTTAGAAGTGTTCTTTGAAGTCTGGCAGATTTGGTATTTGGATTCTACTGATAATACATTTTCTTTACTCAGTTTAATTCATTTAATATTTGTTGAACCTACATAATATGCCAGAAATCACTTAGAAATATAGTAGTGAACAAAATAGACTAAATTCTTGATCTTATGGATTAGAATTTATATTCTGGTAGGTGAGATACACCAAATATCTAAATGTATAGAACCATGTCAGTTAGTGGTAATACTATGAAGTTAAATGAAGTGGAGTGGGGACTGAGGACGTGATAGTTAAATCAAGGACTGAATGAATTAGAGGGAGAAAATAAAACAGAGGGCAAGAGCTTTCCAGGAGAAGAAATAGAAAGTGCAAAAGCTCTGAGATAGGTGGTATGTACGGTGTTTTCAAGAAACTATAAAGAGACAGTTTAGCCCTGGCCAGTTTGGCTCAGCGGTTAGAGCGTTGGCCTGCGGTCCGGAGAGACCCAGGTTCGGTTCCCGCTAAGGGCATGTGCCTCGGTTGCAGTTTGTCCCCGGCCCTGGTTGGTCGTGCGGGTGGCGGCCGCTCGATGTGTCCCTTTCACGTCGATGTTTCTCTCTCTCTCTCTCTCTCTCTCTCTTCCTCCCACTCTATCTGTACAAAAAATGGAAAAATGTCCTTGGGTGAGGATAAAAAAAAAAAAAAGAGACAGTTTATAGTACAATAAAATTATCTTGACTGGTGCTTTTAACTGACTATAACTTTAAGATAGGCACATGATTAAAGGCTAACAGTACTCAGGTCTGTTAAGAAACCAGCTGTTTTTTTGAAAGAGCCATATAAAGTCTCTTTGGTGTTCTAGGTGTAGGGAGCCCTGAGTGAAGAGAGGGTCAGTTGAATGGCTACTGGCACCTGAATAATAGTGTCCTTCCTACTTTTCTATATCTTTTTTCCTACTCGTGTTCCTTAGTAGTTGTTCAATGCAAAAACAAAACAAACTAAACATTTGTAAGATTTTCTTGTAAATTTATTCAAACTTAACTCTTTCCCATCTTCTATTCCTGCTTTAGTCCTTTAAAGTCACATTTCTCTTACCATTAGAAATCTTTCTTAGGATACAGACATTATATGTATGGATTGTTGTAAAAGTTTATTTGTAACTCAGTTGTTTTTGAATACAGAATGTATTTTAGAATGGAAAGAAGGTACATGATAATTAGGTTCTCATTAGACCCATAAAAAGCCCATTTAATATATGAAAATACACCTGATGTGCAGTTCTCTCGTAATAGTATTATAAAACGTACCCACTAAGTATAACAATGTTTCTATGAGAAAATACACTAAAAAATTCAAACCAGGCACTAGAAATAAACACAGCATGTTCCAATGCTCCATTGCTTACCTCAAATATATTCAAGTTACACAAGTCAACCACCACCTGTATTTCCCACATTATATGTCATTTTATTCATCTCTGATATTTTTCATGTATGTTTGTAATTGAGTAAAGAAGTCTTGGCTCCAGTTCTGACCTTTGTAAGCTGTGTGATAGTAGATAGTCTCTTTGTCTCAATTTCCTTGTATAGAAAGTATGCATAATGATATTTTTCCCTACAGTATTGTGGGAATTGAATGGGTTCATGTATGTGAAAGCATTTTGCAAGCTGTAAAATAATACACAGATATTGGTTTTTATTTCTATTGGTTTTTGATATGTGTAATTTCGTCTTCTCTCATTGCAACACAATTTCTACATCCCATTTGAATCTGTCTTCATTTGGTTCTACTTTCATAAAGCAAAAACCATTTTAATTTTGTATTTTAAACCAGTTATAAGGCCTTTTAAAGGTGTTTTGATTAAAATTGATTGTGTTCATGTAAACTATTGAATACATTTTCAACATAAAGTTTCATAATTTTGCAAATACTTATTATCAAAGCTTCCCCAGGTATATAGAAATGAGGAAGGTTAGACCACAATGCAAGATCATTCATTGACACTGTTCCATAAAGAAAAATTTAAAACTCCACTTGAAAGCTAAACATTCCCCATCAGTTTTTCTTAGTTCCTACCACCCCCAACCCCATTCTTGCAAATTTGTGTCCTAAAAAGTTTTCTTGCTATCTGTGAATCCCCCCATGCCTTTGGCTCTCTAGATTCTTGTTACCTTTTCCATGCCAAGTGGACACCTGTTGACTTCTAATGACCATTTGAGAATGGAAAAAATATCCTTTAACTGTGAGAAGTTAGGTAATTTTTCAATAGAAAAGACTAATTTGACTTAGTCAATGTTTATTGAAGTGTAACTTTTGTTATACCTTATATACCTTATATAGATAATACTTTAATTACACGTAATTTACTTTATATATTTAACTTATTTGAAATAAAAACATCTGCTATAAATTAATTTGTATTTGTTACAATTATTGGTAGTAGAAAATCTGTTTAGTAAGTTGACTTAAAACTATTGCCTGATAGTTTGAAAAAATGAGTACTCTGTGAAACTCTTGACATATTTGTTTATGATGGTGTGTGATCACTGAATATGCCTCAAAATAATACTTATCTATAAGGGTCTCTTATCTTTCTGATTTAAAAAATGTAAGGGAAGAGGGGGCAGGGGATAGGGAAGAGTTAAAAAGAACTTATATGCATAAATATATAACCAATGGACACAGACAATAGTATGAGGAAGGCAGGAGGGGGTCAATGGGGGAAAAAGGGAGGGACACATGTAATACATTCAACAATAAAGATAAGTTCAAAAAGAAAAAAACACTATACAGCAGAAAATGATGAAGTGGAAAAATAAATGAACAGTAGAAAGGGAAAAAATATCTTTTATAAAGATAGCTCTATTAACTAGATAATGTGGGGGGTGTGGTAGGAGAGAAAAGGTTATAGATAACTTCCAAATCATGTTTAAAACAAAATGACAGCGATGTTTAGATTATCCAGTGGCAATTAACCATTGTTACAATAGGGATCTAGATCTAGGGGCTCTATAATTATTCAGCTACGTCACACACCAGTCATTGTTGTCAAAGGCTGCTAATTATAAGCTCGGGAGGTGTCGGTAACTGCCTAGGATTCCCATTTCAATTTCTCTGACCCTGTAGCCAATTATTTATATATTGGCTTTTTTTTTTTTTTTTAATAAGGAAGAAAGGATATTAAAGATATTAAGGAAGAAACCTAGATATTTTAAGAAGTTAAAAAAGATGGTTTTAATAACAGTGTTACCATAGAGTTATAAGATATTTTAAAGTTTATAAAGTGCACTTGTTTTGCTTTGGCCTTTCACTAGAGTTCAAAAATTTTACTAAATAGCTTAGCAATGAATAGTTTTGCTTCCCCCAAAAATGGAAAAACCTTGATATATTTTAGTAATTAGTAATCAGGGAAAAATTTTAAAATATTTTATGTATCAGTTTCATTCAAATACAATACAATCCTTGAATTAACATTTTGTCCTCTTCCAGTTGCTTGAACCTGTCTGTCACCAGCTCTTTGAATTCTATCGCAGTGGAGAGGAGCAGTTACTTCGATTTACGCTGCAGTTTCTTCCAGAACTGATTTGGTGCTACCTTTCGGTCTCAACCAGCAGAAATGTGCATAGCAGTGGATGCATTGAAGCTCTTCTTCTAGGGGTTTACAATTTGGTTTGTATTTAATGTGGTTAACAAAATGTTTTATGGCAAAAGCAAATATATAACCTTTTCAGCAAAAGTAAATACCTAATAGCAACTACTTTTCATGTTTGTAAAGCTATTATTTGTTTTTTATACATCAAATGACTCATAACTCATTCTTCCCAAAATAACTTTATGGAGGTTGAGGGCTGTACAGGCATACATATAATTATGTAAATAATTCTTTTGGGATAGACTGAACACTGAAAATCAGACCAATTATTTTATAAAGGTATTTGAAAATATCATTGTTGAATTTAAAAATTTTTAAACTTAAAATCCATTGTCTATAAATTGTTTGTGACCTTCACAAAAAGTTTAGGAGAAAGCACTGGCCTGTTTGGCTCAGTGGTTAGAGTGTCGGCCCACGGACCAAAGAGTCCCAGGTTCGATTTCAGCCAAGGGCACGTACCTCATTTGCAGTTCGTCCCCAGCCCTGGTTGGGGTTGTGTAAGTGGCAACCAATCGATGTCTGTCTGTCTGTCTGTCTGTCTGTCTGTCTGTCTCTCTCTCCTCTCTTCCTCTCTCTCTCCTCTTCTCTCCCCCTCTCTCCCTCCCTTCTGCTCTATCTGAAGATAAATGGAAAAATATCCTCAGATGAGAATTAAAAAAAAAAAAAAGTTTAGGAGAAAAAAATTTAGTCTAACATCTACCACTAGTAATTCTATAAAATCTGGACTGTCTCCAGAGTTTATACCCTTGATTTAACATATAGTTTGAATTACTAATAGTGTTTGTATATTAATTAGTATGACATTCTAGATATTTAAGGTTTCTACTTTTTTTTTTTTTTAATGTTAAAAGTATTACGGATGTCCCCCTTTTTTCTCCATTGACCTCTCTCCTTCCCACTCAGTTTCTACCTTTTAAAATGGAAAAAAAATCAGGGCTTTGTCTTGACATATTTTGTAACTGTGTCACTTGATTTAGAAACTAACTTTTTACATGAGAAAAATTAATAACTGTTAAGACACTACATCTGTATTTCAGCCATCCTTAAAATTATATGTTATTTATATTTTAAAAGTGGATGGTTAACTCCAGTTGTTTCTGAATAATTGACAAAGTACTGTTATAATTTAAGATTTTAGTTGACTTTAAAATTCTTTTCTTTTCAGGTTATTTTTTTTTTAGACTAACAATTTACATTTAGCCTTTAAATTTATGTGCAAAAAAAATAAGTATTTTAATATACTTTCTTTTACTTTTGTAGGAAATAGTTGATAAACAGGGACATAGCAAAGTATTGAGTTTTACAATTCCATCATTATCTAAACCATCTGTATATCATGAAGTAAGTGACATTTTATCAAAGTATACTTATTGTTTTTAAGGTCCTAAGTTGCTATAAATTAGGGTCTGGTTATTGAGGCAAAATTTTGATCAATTTATTAGTACCGTAAGTATAAAACACAAAAGTATTTGCCATTTCAAAATTTGAAATGAGAAATCAAGATCATTAAACTTTAAACTAAAATGTGATTGTAAAAGATCTACCCAAAGTATTTATTTTGAAAAATTTTCTCTCCTTCCAATGGATAAGACTAGTCTATTTATTTATTTATTTATTTTTGCAGCATTATGTATTTTCATGGTAGAATTTTTGAAGCTAAACTATTATTTCTATTTGTAATTTAGTTATTAATTATTTATTAAATCTATGAGCAGAAAATTTAGTAGACAGTCTGAATATTTTAAAGATATATGATGTTCATGGCAATTATTCTTAGTGGTATATGTATACTAAGTATCACATTTTTAATAGAACATTATTTCATCTTCCTTTTTCCAATGTCTTTTCTTTAGCCTTCCAGCATTGGGTCCATGGCTCTGACTGAGAGTGCACTATCCCAGCATGGTTTGTCAAAAGTTGTGTACAGTGGACCTCACCCACAAAGGGAGATGCTGACAGCACAGAATAGGTATACTGTGGAGACATAACTTGCACTGCTACTACACTGATTAAAAAAATTATTTCAGTAGATCTATAATTAATGAGTGGTATATAACAATTTTTTAAAATATTGAGTCATTGTACAAGAGAAAACCTCATATTCCTATTTATCACTTATACTTTGCTTTAGGTGTCATTGCAAACATCTGATGTTTAAGATAGTTTTCATATGACTGTTGCTTGGGAAGTGTTTTTCCTTTTAGTGTTGTATTGTTATTCCTGTGATTATTTTGTACAGGTCTGTTCTATAATGTAATACTTTCCCTAGTGCCTGCTTAATTTAATTATGGTTGAGTTAGAATTCTAAAGATTTGTAAATATTTTTTTGGTTTATCTTTAGGTTTGAAGTGTTGACATTCCTTTTGTTGTGTTACAATGCTGCCTTAACCTATATGCCCAGTGTTTCTCTTCAATCATTGTGTCAAATTTGTTCAAGGTAAATTAAAATCTAAATGTTTTTAATATTGAAATATATGAATCCAGAGTTGCTGGTTTTGTTATACATCTAAGTTATTTTTGTTTTCTTTAATCATTTGTTTAAAACATTAAATAAGTTAATATGAAGTTCAGCCTAGTCAACACATAGAAGGTTTCTTATAAATTATAGTCACAGCCCTGGCCACTTTGGCTCAGCAGTTGGAGTGTCAGCCTACGGACCATTGAGGCCCAAGTTCGGTTCCTGCTAAGGGCATGTATCTCGGTTGCAGTTTGTCCCCGGCCCTGGTTGGGGTTGTGTGCGTGGTGACCAGTTGATGTGTCTCTCTGACATAGTTATTTTTCTCTCTCTTCCCCCCTCGTTCCCTCCTATCCTATCTGAAGATAAATGCAAAAATGCCCTCCGGTGAGGATAAAAAATAAATAAATAAATTATAGTTACCAAAAAAAATGACAAGGAAGAGGGTTAAGTTGAATAGCATTTCAGTGGGATATTTCATCAGGAAAGGATTATACTTGAGTAGATAAAAAAGCTGTGGTCCATATACACAATGGAGTACTATGCAGCTGTAAGAAAGAAAGATCTCTTATCCTTTGAGATGACCTGGGGAGTATTATGCTAAGCGAAATAAGCCTATAAGAGAGAGACAAATATCACATGATATCACTTATTTGTGGAATATAATGAACAAAATAAGCTGATGAACAAAAAAGACCCAGAGTCATGGCAGTAGGGTACAGACTGACAAACCTCAGAAGAGGGGGGTTGGGGAAAGGAAAGAGATAAACCAAAGAATTTGTATGCATGTTTGTGTAACCAATGGACATAGACAACAATGCTTGGGGTTGGGGGTGTGGGGGATTGGGAGGAGGGTGTCAATAGGGAAAAAAGAGAAACATCTGTAACAAATAAATTAATAAAACAAATACACACACACACACACACATATACAGGTACAAAACAAAGAAAAGGATCATACTATATAATTAAGAGGATGGAGCTCTTATGACCTTTCAGAATTTGGCATGTGGTTGGTTTCTATTTGTGTTTTTTTTTTCATTATTATTTATTTCTGTTGTGCTCTAATTTGGTACCAAGAAATAAGTTAGAGATACAGGTTTTTAAACTTCCCTTGTTTAAAAATATTGAGCCAAAAGGTTGGTTAAATAAATTGTGATAGTTCTTAGATATACTATGCAAGCATTTAAAAGTTGTGATTTAAAAAGATATTTACTGATAGATTATATGTGCTATGATTCCAGCATTGACTAAATATGACCAGAATATCAACAATAGTTATTTCCGACTGGTAGAATAATGGTTTATTAATTTTTTCCTGTGTGATTTTCTGTTCTTTTCTAAATTTGCTGTGATGGACATGTTACCTTTTTAAAGAAAATAATAACAAACCAAAACAAAATGACCCAGAAAATGCCTTTGGTAATTCAAATAAATAGGGAAAATAGAGAATTAATAAACTTATAGAATAATTGAGATTTGAGGGACTTATTTAGATAATGTAACTTTGAAATGTTAGTAAGAGGGAGGGTGCATAGACCAATACTTAGAAATCATACCAAACAAAACAAACCGAAAAGCAGAAAATAACATTGAATAGGATAGAAAACTGTACAGGACCAGAGAGAAGGTTGGAAATAAGGCAAAGGGCTTGTTTAAGATGATAGAGAAGTGAAGAGTCTTTCAGATGATTCCTTAATTAGCATAATTATGTTTCCTAGACCTTGGAAGATGATACCAATGTGCCATCTCTCCCACTAACTGAGTCTCTCTAATATGTTTCTTGTTTTAAATACTTTAAAGTTACAGGTGCCCAGACTTTTGAATTTTACAAGATCTGTAAAATTTCAAAAAAAGCTGGAGCGGTTGGAGTATCTACATAGTGTTGCCAACTTTTTATCTTGCTAAGTGATATAACTATCTACCATCAACATTATTTAACAAAACTGAGACTATTTTCACACCAAAAAGCAGGGAGAGTGGAAGAGAAGGACAATAATTTATAAATTAAAAAATGGGATGTTTAGCTTTCTTTGTTTCTCTTTTCACTATGGTCTTAGTAAAACTTTGTTATGGTCTAAAATGAGGATAAGGACCAACATGACTTGATGCAGTAACTTTCACCTTAAGAAATTAAGTAAACTACAAAGCCCAGCTTCTACTCTGAAGCAGTGTCTTAGATGGTAGGATCCAGGAATGCAATACAGACATAGATATATAGAGACATCTATCCCATATATCTGTAACTTAGCATCTTCTAAAACAGTATGTCTTATTTGTCCAAGTTCTTTTAATGGCACTACCATCCAGACTGTTACCCACACCAGTGTAGGAATAATTATACACTCCTATTATTCCTTTATCCCCACTCTTGATTTTACTTCCTAGATGTAACTCCAATCCCACCCTTACTCCTCCTCACAATTACTTCTTTAGTTCCGACATTCTCCTCTCCTGTTTCATTGAACTATTCCAATATAGCCTGAGTGATAGAATCAAAAGATCAATCTGATCTTGTCACTCACTTGTTTAAAACAACAAAACAAAAACCTTTAGTTGCTTCTCACTGCCTATATGATAAAGCCTAGCATTCTATAAGATATTCCATGATCTGACCCCTAGCTAGCTCTTTGCTATTTTCTAGTGTGCTAGCATTCTAGCCTTCTAAAATTCCCCCAGTCTCCTTGATATCATGCTTTTTCACCCCTTTTTCTTCAAGGCTCAGTTCACAGGAGCATCTTTCTGGGAAGCCTTCTGTGATCTTCTACTCTTTCCACTCTCTCCTTTTATTGCCTTTGCAACTTGTTCATTGCAAATATTTGTTTACTACACAGTCTTCATGGTTAAATTGGGAATCCCTGTGGGTGCTACAGCTTTCATCTATAACCCTAGTGTCTGACACAATATAAATCTTTAATAAGCATTTCACTGAATGAATAAATAAATTGAAAAATTCTATGTTTCATATATTGGTTGTCTGTTATTTAGTACCATCCGTATCATAAAGGTGTAAGGTGTAAGTAAGCAAAACGGTTCTTAGTTTGCTTTTTAGATAATAAGAGTAAGAGGAGTTTATTCTAGATTGTATATAAGTTTGTGTAATGGCAAACAATATTCGAGTTGGTTTTATTTCATATGCAGCTAATTTTTCTCAGTTTTTGTCTTAGTCATCTCAGGCTGCTGTTCACAAAACTTCCTAGACTGAGTGGCTTAAGCAGCAGACAGTTATTTCTCACAATTGTGGAGTCTGGCAGATACAAGGTAAAGGTGACAGCAGATTTGGTTCCTGGTGAAGGCCATCTTCCTAGCTTGCAGGCTACCGCCTTTGCACTGTGACTTCACATGGCAGAGACCTCGAGTCTTTCTTCCTCTCTCTAAGGGCACTAATCCTGTTGTGGGTGCCCCATTTTTGTAATTTCATCTAAACCTAGGGCTTCAACATGAATTTGAGGGGGACACATTGAGTCCATAAGTATCCCTGCTCCCTTTTACCCTTGATTCTAAAGAGTTTTAAGATCCTTTCAATATCAAATGAATTTATATTTACTCTTTAAAGTTGTTTTGAATTAATGATATCCTCATTTGAAATAGTCTGTGTTATACTTGGGCATGTTTAAGTAAAAGGCTTAGATTCCATGAGTAAAGAAAATATTAAGTACCTACATGGGAAGAGGAGGTAAATAATTACAATCTATTGACTAGTACTGTTTTAAGTGATAGTTGTATTGTATCAACCACAACATATTATGAGAAAGCACTATTTTTTCATTTTATTAAAAATAGAAACTTACTTTTTATTTTAAAAGCAGTGTATGTTGATCATAAAAAACTTAGAAAATACATATAAATATTTTTAAAAAAGTATGTTTCCCTGGCTGGGTGACTCAGTTGGTTGGAGCATTGTCCCATACACCAAAAAGGTTGTGAGTTTGATTCTCAGTTAGGGCACATACCTAGGTTTTGGGTTTGCTCCCTGGTTCGGGAGCCTACGGGAGGCAACCCATCGATGTTTCTCTCGCATTGATGTTTCCTTCTCGCTCACTCTTGCTAAAAAAAAAAAAAAAAAAAATTAAAAGAAAAACATCCACCCTGACCTGTTTGGCTCAGCAGTTGGAGCATCAGCCTGTGGACCAGAGAGTCCCGGGTTTGGTGCCCGCTAGGGGCACATCCAAAAAAAAAAAAAAAAGAAAGAAAGAAAAAGAAAAGAAAAAAAGAAAGAAAAACATCCTCAGGTGAGAATTTTAAAAAAAAGGAAGAAAATATGTTTATAATTCCACAGCTCCGAGATAATTCTGTGACTTTGTATGTCATCTTTTTATAGTGACACATGCCTTTCACTTATTTGTTATAAAATCAGATTAGGCTACATGTGTTGTTTTGTACAGTTTTTTTTCCCTGTCATTTACATAGGCTTTCAAAACGTCATGTTTAATTGTTTCATAGTATTGTTGAACGATGTATAATTGGTCCCTTGTGTTGGACTTTAGGTGGCTTCCTATTCATTATAATATGTAATCCTTATCATCAGTACTCCTTAAATATTCTTCGCTATGATAAATACTTCTTTACTTTTTTTTATGATAGTTTCTTTAAAAAAATTTTTGTAAGAATGTATTGATCTTTCTTTAAGATTCTGCCTTTGTTATCATGTTTAGGCATTCAAAGAATATGTACCTATTTGCTTCTGTTTTATTTATCTTAAGGTTTTTAACATTAAAATTTTCAGTCTATCTTTAGTTTATTGAGGTGTGTACTGTATGATGTTTGAGTGTAATTTTAGGGTATTTTTTTGAAGCCTGTAGTTTGTGTCAAGAACTTTGTCAGGAATAGAGAATCACACTACAGTACTATTCACGATAAATGGTACTAAGTTCTCGGTAATAAGTTTTACAGTGGCCAAAAATTATTAATAATTTAATTGAACAAAATTAGTGAATCAGCTTTGAGAATCTGATTCATTTACTATAGACTAACATCACTCTGGCTTTGTACATTTTTTTTCCTCAGTCTAATTTGCTGAGGAAAATATTATAGACAAATGTTCTGTTTGGAAAGAGTCTTTGTTTCATAACTATTAGATTTACTTAGAGAAGAGAGCATGCCTAGTACATGGTTGGCTTATAAATGTTAAAAAAATAAATTACCTAAGTTTCTACCAATTTTACAAATATATTTATTTTGGTCTTTCTAGAATCTGTGTTTGTGGATATCCCAGACAACATGTAAGAAAATATAAAGGTATAAGTAGCAGGATACCAGTTTCTTCAGGATTCATGGTGCAGATGTTAACAGGGATTTATTTTGCTTTGTAAGTCAATTTCATATGCAATGTAAACATTTGATCTTCTTGGAAAATTATAGTTTGTTATTGTTACTATATACTTAATAGCTAAACATTTGGTATACTTTTGTGAAAGAATATCAATCAAGATCTTGATAATAGTTTTATAATTTCAAATATATCTTTTAATGTTCTGAAGAATTTGTATCCAACTGAAACACTTCATCATTTTTAAAAAAATTTAAGAACAGAATGAAAATTAGGAGTACCTAAGTATATTCACAGTTCCTTTCTTCATTACTTTTTTTGCTGTAATTTCCAAATAGCTTTTCTTCCAATGAATATATTTTCCCATTATAAAAATCTCAACTCTTGCCCTGGCCGGTTTGGCTCAGCGGTTAGAGCATCAGCCTGCGGTCCGGAGAGACCCGGGTTCGGTTCCCGCTAAGGGCGCGTACCTCAGTTGCAGTTTGTCCCCGGCCCTGGTCGGTTGTGTGGGTGGCAGCCACTCGATGTGTTCCTTTCACATTGATGTTTCTCTCTCTCTCTCTGTTCCTCTCTCTCCCTCCCACTCTACCTGAACAAAGAATGGAAAAATGTCCTCGGGTGAGGATAAAAAAAAAAAAAAAAATCTCAACTCTTGAAAAATATTTTAGAGCCTCTTTAATCACAAATAATTTATTATTAATTTCTATTATTGATGCTCAGCCTTAATGCCTTAGATACTAGTATTTTTCTTTGAACCCTATTTTTTACTTTGTAATTCTTTTTTTCTTTTTTATAGGATTTATGGGGGTGACATTGGTTAATAAAATTATATAGGTTTCAGGTATACAATTCTATAACACATCATCTGTATATTGTGTTGTGTTTTCACCACCCCAAGTCAAGTCTCCTTCCATCACCATTTATTCCCCTTTGTCCTCTTTTACTGCCTTTTCCCTCTGGTAATCACCATACTGTGATCTGTTTCTGTGAGTGTTTCTTTTTCTTAATCCCTTTTTACTTTGTAATTCTTTGGATCACAATTTATTATTAATTTACTATTTCTAATAAATTAATGATTAATTTAGTATTAATTATATTAATTTACAACTAGGATCTAATTGCATAGATATTAGTATTTTTCTTTAAACCCTATCTTTTATTTGGTAATTCTCTTACTATACATATCTTACTATACTTTGTATTATATTCACTTGATACTTTAATTTTCCCTAGTACTTTATAAACCTTTTGACTGAAGGCAGGATTTATTATGTTTGGGCCAAATCTGGCCTGCTGCCTGTTTTTAAAAAAATTTTGTTGAAACACAGTCACATCCATTTGTTTTTGTATTGTCTGTGGTTGCTTTTGTGCCATAGTAACAGAATTGAGTAGTTGCAATAGAGACTGTATGGCCCACAAGCCAAAAATATTCCCTGACTAGTCCTTTAATAAAAAAAGTTTGTTGACCCCTGTGTTAGACCTTTAATATTGTCCCATTCAACTCACTCATACTTTTCTCCCAATTTATTGCTGATATTTGCAACATACATCATGTACCCTTCTAAATGAATATCAAAATGTAAAGAAGTAACTACTTAGGATACTGCAAGCCACAGTAGATTCTCATTAAAAACCATAGGAGTTACAGAATAATATGACCATAAAGTGTTCTGAACATTATTCTAAGGCATATTTATTGTGCTCTGACTTGCTTTGAAAGTGTAAAATGCTTTGAGATTGCCTGGATTTTTTGATACCTGTTCCAAAAATAGAAGTGTCTTTGGCGAAGAAATGTACATCTATAAAATGTTCTTGTCTATTAATGGGCTTTCACATACAATCGAAAGGAATTCAAAGATTTATTTTTAAGGAGAGGGGAATGCTAAGCATTGTGTTAATCTGATCAGTTATCTTCCTCAGTAAAGACAGTTTCTCATTGTATTTTATTCAGTTATATAAAATTAATGTAAAATATTTATTTTGTTTATTTAATTTTATAGTTATAATGGAGAATGGGATCTAGCTCAAAAAGCATTGGATGATATTATATACAGAGCCCAGTTAGAATTATATCCAGAGCCATTGCTGGTAAGTGCCTCACTTATTTATGTAATTTTTAAAATTTTAAAATTCTCAATTTAGAACTATAAATTGAGGAGTAGCCATTCATAGTACATTAATATGTCATTAATATTCAGTGATTCATGCTCATGTTATACTAGAAAAATTTTATACTTGAAAAGGTATATAAATAATAAAATATGAAAATTTTACTTGGCTAACTTCTTAGATACCTGATAGTCTATTTAACTTATAAGAATGTTCTCCTTAGCATGCCTAGAGCTATGTTTATTAATTAGCAGTAGGCATTTGGAAATATAATCCAATATTTTGAAATTTTTGATTTTATCACATATATTACATTTATTTATTTATGTTTTTTGTTTTTTTATTGATTTTAGAGAGAGAGGAAGGGAGAAGTAGAAACATTGATGAGAAAGAACATTGATTGGCTGCCTCCTGCATGCTCCCCACTGGGGATTGGACCCACAACCTGAGCATGTGCCCTTACTGGGAATCGAACCAGCAACCTCTTGGTACATGGGTCAGCACTCAGCCACTGAGCCACACAGGCTGGGCTTACATATTATATGTAACTATAAGTTTTCTTCTGATCTCTTACTTCTTATTCCAGATGACTTATATATCATCATATGAAATTCCTTAGAAAAAGTATTTTTTAATCTCTTAAAATTTAACATCTTGTTTTTCTAATGGTATAGTAATACATTTTTAATACTAATCTTAAACTATATGTTTTCTTCTTAGGTTGCAAATGCAATAAAGGCTTCATTGCCTCATGGTGCCATGAAATCTAGTAAGGAGGGTACAAGGTGTATTCAAGTTGAAATCACACCAACTTCCTCTAGAATATCAAGAAATGCAGTAACCAGCATGTCAATAAGAGGTCATAGGTGGAAAAGACATGGTAAGAAATAAAAAACTCTATACATTAGAGGATTATTGAGTCTATCACATTTTTCTCTATACTTACAGTGCTATAACTTCTGGCTTTAGTAAACAGTGCCACAGTGGCATGGAAGAAAGAGTTATTCACTTTTACTCACTTTTAACTTCGAATTTAATGTCCATGAGTGACAGCCGATAAGGAAAATAGAGCCCCTTATGTTACATATATGATAAAAATTTATTTAAACATTATATTGGCTTTTAAATTATATTTCAATAGAGAGAAAAGTAGGAAAATGCATTTAAAAATTATTCATACATTTTGAGTTTCTATTCATAATTACTTGCAGTATTTGTTAATGTTTCTGATTTCTCAACTAATTTTCTAACAGATAAACTTGCATATTGAAGTAGAATGACTAATAGGGACTTGAACGTTTTCTTCTGGATTTCCTATAAAGGATGCCATGGTATTGATGCAACTCTAGGCATTTCTATTTTCTGGAAGTTACTTTTCTTCCAATATTGTTTGTTTTAATATTTCTTCTTGATTGCTTCATTTTATTATTTAAAATTTCTATTGGAAGTTAATTTTATTCATCATGGCCTTCTCAAATGCTTCCTGTATAATTAATTATTTCTTATTTAATTTCTCATTCTTTTTATAACTCCCCTCCTACCTAGAAGTTATTGTAGTGGCAAATACCAGTGTAAGATGAAGATTACTGTCTCCTTTCTCAGAAGGTAATAACAGAGTGGGAAGCAGAAAGCCACTTCTTATTGATTAGGAGTAAAGCAAAATCAATTCCCTATTTTCTTCTTCCTATAAACCGATGAAAATGATAGCTCCTTTTGGTATATTTACTTATATTTGTCCCTATGGCCTCTATAGAGAAATGCAAAAATGAGATTATTTATGGTGAAATATAAAGTTGATAATGAGAAAAGTTACCATTGTCCCTTCTCAGGGAACCTAGGAGATAGTATGTCAAATAAAGAATGATGATGAAATTTTCCAGCTTAATCAATGATCATTTCGAATCTTTTTCTTTTTTAAAAATAGTGTGACAATTCTTGAAGCTCCCTTAGAAAGACATAAAAAAGATGTTAATGTTTGCCATTAGCAAGGCAAATTATGTTGCTATTTAAAAAACAGTCAGATACTTCAGTTTCTTCAGTGAAAATTATGTTACTGAATGGATCTATAGGCTATAGGTAGAAGTCATTTAATTAGATATAGTGATACCCTAGAGATCAGTTTTGTGTGTGTGTGTGTGGTGCGGGCGGGGGTGGGGGGTGCATAAATAGGTGAATATAGACACAGAGGCAATGAACCAGCTCATATGGGTCATTGTGGCTATAATGGCTCCCAAACTACCACTATAGGAAATGTAAGAATGCTTTTTAATTCATTTTCCACTTTCCTGTCTTGCTATTTAGGTGGACATATTGGGAATTAGGAGGAACAAAATATAGGTCCTTCAGTTAAAAATGTAAAATATTGAAGTTCAATTGTATTTGTGCATGTGTGTGAGAAAAAGAGATGTGTGGGTGTGTCCATGCATGCATTTACCAGAATATGTGTACCCTGCAATAAAATAGAAGGTATTTTAATAGAAATAATTTTAAAGGAATAAATTACCAAAACAGGAGAAAAGACTACTATATTGTATCTATTGGATACTTACATATTTCCCAGGTTACATTTTGTCCTCCACTTGGGCATTTGGCACTGTGTCTTAGGGCTACAGCCTCATTAAAGCAACCTTCTTAATCATCTTTCTATTCCCCTACACTTATTCAACCTTCATGACTCTAACTCTTGGACAACTCCTGTTTATTGTAACAAAAAAGTCACAGATGATTTGGAAGAGAATGAACTATAAAAAGAAGTCAGGTGCATGGAGCAGATACAGAATATAGCTTAGTCTTGTTTACCATTCTTCTGCAGTGTAAGTTCTTCTTATCTAGTGGACTCTAAAATATTCCTAGTCTATAGTTCTTATTTATTTCTGTAGGTAGGTTGCATTCTCCCTTTTTTAGTATAATCTTGGGTTTCCTTTCCTTTTTACAGCAGTATTTTTTCATTGTTACCCTGTTCTGAATGAAAAACTTTTGTTTTTCTTCTTTGTGGTCTTGATTCCTTTGGAACACCTTATTATTATTGTTCTGGGCTCTTTAGCTGACACTGGCTTCTTGTGGGGAAGATAAGGTATCTTTACTATAGTTCTTAAATATATAAATAACTCTCAATTTGTAAATGGATTTTAAGTTAAATTTATATGTAAATTATATTTGTTATATTACATTCATATATACATTATATATATATGAATTACAATAAAATTGAATTTACTTATACATTAATTTTTGCAGAAACAATGTTAAAGGGCTTGTAGATTTCAGAGGGACCCACAAAAGCCTTTTCATCCCCTAATGTTTCTGAAGCAGAGTACTATAGACTGTAGGTTTAGTTTATGACTGTGAAAACACATTTAGAGTTTCTTTATTTGACGGAACTCTAAATGTGTTTCCTATTTCACTTCTATCCCTACTACTCCCTTACTACACCAAGCCTTCCAGGAAGAGGGATTTCTTCCCAGGCTCCGAACTATATCACACAGTAGGAACATGGAATATGCAACTTTAAACCAGTGATGATTAGGATTGGGGAAGGAGAAGGGAGAAGAAGCATGAACTTTAAGGAATATTCTTTAAACTTTTGTCCTTGCCTCTTTCTTTGTTACTGCTGGTACTGGGAAAGAAGAAAGCAATTGGCCCCCTTTTCCCCCTCTCCTTGGGTTTCTTCCCTTTTCTACCCCTCTTCTTTCTTTTATTTATGCCTTTAAAAAAATTGAAATATAATTGACATGTAAAATTATATTAGTTCCAGGTGTACAACATAATGATTTTATATATATATAGGGAAATGATCACCAGAGTAAGTCTAGTTAACATCCATTGCTATAAATAGATAACAAATGTTTTTTTCTTGTGATGAAAATTTTTAGATCTACTGATAATTACTTTTAACAACTTTCAAACATAAAATATAGTTTTATTATCTATAGTCATCATATGTACATGTACATTACATCCCCAAGACTTACTTTTTTATATGTATAACTAGAGTCTTGTACCTATTGACCAATGGACCACTTTTACCCATTACCCCTGCCCAGTGCTCCCCAACCACCAATCTGTACTCTGTCTATATGAGTTTGGGTTTTTTGTTTGTTTAGATTCTACATATAAGTGAGATCACATGGTATTTATCTTTGTCTGTCTGACTTATTTCACTTAGCGTTAATTCCCTCAAGCTCTATCCATGTTGTCACCAATGGTAGGATTTCCTTCTTTTTTAATGGTTGAATAATATTCCATGTATGTGTACCTGTATATAGATTTTAAATTAATAGATTTTAGTTTTTATTTTTAGTTTCATAGCAAAATGGAGTAGAAAAATTTAGAGAATTTCCATAATTTCCATGGACCCTTTGACCACCTCCCCACCCTACCACATCTTCCCCCAATATCAACATCCCACACTAGAGAGATATATTGATAAGGCCCTGTAATTTTAATTTTGACCAGACTGTACATTCTCATATCGACTAAGTAGGGTGATTTTTAAAGACTGGTTGGTTTCAGCTGTCATATTTTGGAGAGACATGTTTGAAAACTAGTATGTTTGCCTGATTTTCCCCACTTTTCACTTAACTTAATGACTTTATAATTCTATGTTAATATATTTGTTTGTAAAGTAACATTACAGTGTAGAATTGCTGCTTTTAACTTTTAAGGGTCATAATTTCAGAATTAATAGCTTTATTTATATATTGTTAATTTTCTTTTAATATTGTTATTTTTTTAAGTGTATTGTGTTTTACTTAGTGTGTATTTTTTTATCCTCACCCAAGATATTTTTGCATTTATCTTCAGATAGAACTGGAGGGAGAGAGAGAGGAAGAGAGGGAGAAACATCGATGTGAGAGAGACACATCGATTGGTTGCCGTCTGCACAACCCCAACTGGGGCCGGGACAAACTGCAACTGAGGTACGTGCCCTTAGCAGGAATCAAACCCGGGACTCCCTGGTCCACGAGCTGACACTCTAATCACTGAGCCAAACCGGCCAGGGCAATTATTGTGTATTTTTTAAACCTAGAATTTCAAGCAATCTACAGTTTGAGGTCTTTTTAGAATTCATAATTTGAAAGTAAAATAAAATTAGAGAAGGATAATAGAATAAACATTAAAAAGCATTAAGTAAGGTAAGAGAAGAATGAAGAGATTATGACCATAGCAAGAATTAAAGTGAAAATTCCAGTAATAAAAATAAAACAGTGAAATAATCTGTTAATTTTCAAATTTAATAATAAAAATGCAATTTTATTCTTAAGTATTTTCTTAAGAATAAACAATAGTTAAAAGGAAAACAGAATTTTTTTTTTTTTTTTTGGTATGTGCCCCTAGCGGAAATTGAATCCGGGACTCTCTGATCTGCAGGCTGATGCTCCAACTGCTGAGCCAAACTGGCCAGGGCCGAAATGATTTTTTTATAATCATTCTTCAATTCCATAGTCATTCTTAAATGTTGCTTCTAAAGCTATCTTCATTATCTACCATATCAGCTGTAAGAGCCCTTTTTATTAAATCACTGTATGATCTTACCACTTTAAGACTCTTTTATACAGTTTATATTTATTTCCTTGTACGTTTCCATTTCCTCTCTTCTTCCAGATCAAATTTAATTTCTACTTTTTCTGTCTATTTTACCACACTACTATGACTTACTCTTCTACTGAAAAAAAAAGTTATCTGTACTTCGAACAATGTATCCACCTTTCTTCCTTTTTTATTTTTGTTTATGCTCACCCAATGATATGTTTATTGATTTTAGAGATGAAGGAAGGGAGAAAGAGAGGGGGGAGGAGAGTAAGAGAGAGAGGGGGAAAGAGATTGAAATACTGATTGGCTGCCCCAACCCAACTGGGGATCAAACCTACAACCTAGGTA